AAATATGCAGACTTGTTTACATCTTAATAATAGTGATCTTTTTTCCTTTCTATGCCTGTCTTCATTACTTCAGTTAAAGTGCAAGAATGCACTCTGTGGATCTGTAGTTTACCTGTGCTTAAAGTATTGCATAATAATTTTCTTCCATTTTTGCAAAAGTCTCTGGCTAAAAGGTCCAGGCTGTCTTCATTAATTCACAGAATCACAGAATAATTGAAGCTGGAAAGATCTCCGAGATCATCAAGTCCAACCTATGACCTAGCACTACCACATCAGCTAGACCGTGGCACTAAATACCACATCCAGTCTTTCCTTACACACCTCCAGGCATGGTGACTCCACCACTTCCCTGGGAAGTCCATTCCACTGTCTAATCACCCTTTCTGTGAGGAATTGCTTCCTAATATCCAAACTAAACCTCCCCTGGAGCAGCTTCAGGCCATGCCTTCTCACCCTGTCACTCGTGGCCTGGGAGAAGAGCCCAACCTCCATCTGTCTGCAGCCTCCCTTGAGGTAGTTGAAGAGAGTGATAAGGTCCCCCCTGACTCTCCTCTTCTCCAGGCTAAACAACCCCAGTTCCCTCAGCCTCTCCTTATAAGACTTTCCCTCTAGTCCCTTCACCAGCCTTGTTGTTCTCTTCTGGGCACACTCCGGCACCTCAAGATCCCTCTTGAAGTGAGGGGCCCAGAACTGCACATAGTACTCACAGTGAGGCCTCACCAGTGCTGAGTACAGGGGGAGAATTACATCCCAGCTACTGTTGGCTACACTATTTCTGATACAAGCCAGGATGCCATCGGCCTTCTGGACCACCTGGGCTCACTGATGGCTCATGTTCAACCAGCTGACAACCAGTACTCCCAGGTCCCTTTCAGTTGAGGATCTGCTTTCTTGACAGGATTTTTCATAAAAATACTCGTAAAAAGAAAATTCAAAATTAATTGTTCTTTGGAGACCTCATAGTCCCCAAGACCTCACTAAATTGCCATTGATACAATATGCTTTCTAATCACCAGGGTCACTTTGCTGTGATGGTACATCACAAAGGGAAATCTCATTGAATATTTCGCAACCCTCTCTGGCAATTAGCGTTGTAAATGGCATCTTCTCTGCATTGGCAACAAAATGAGAATCAGAAAGCAACTGCAGGATAGCTCAGATAAAATGAGCCAACTACTGTGCCATATTATTACACATTGAGAGAAAAAAAACATACTAATCTGAAAGACAATATACATTGTTATGGCACCCCACTGAACAGCAACAAAATGTTCTATGAAATCCTATTTGCTAATAGGGCAAAATAGTTTGGGGACTAATTTAATATATGCTGAGAGTCTTTATTCTCTAAGCATTCAGAGAATGACAATCCACTTTCTTTCTCTCTTTTTGACAAATTGAGTCTGTTGCTAAGGATCCCCTTTCTTACTTGAAAGACCTTAATTGAATTCAGTCTGGATGATCTCTTCAGTTCTTCAATTTTCCATTAAAATTGGAACAGGATTATGTTATATTTCCAGCCAATTTTAGAAGTGTTCAAGCCACTGATCATACTAACTGTTTTTGCAGGGACATCATAGGTGAAGTTAGAGTCTTAGAAGCTAGAGGGTTGGGGTTTTTTTGGAGCAGTACTTTTGCTTCTTGTATTTCAGATTCTTAAAAATGCTACAGAGATCTGTGCCAATGCAGCTCAATGTTTCAGTGAAGAAACAAGTTCGCCTCATATAATATTCCATAATTTTGTATTCAGATAGAATTTCTGATAAGGTACAACAGGAAAAGATGATTTTAATAAAGATTTATAAAAGCACTACTTAACAGTTTGATGGCGAGGTTCACTTTGTATTTACTATGTAGAAGGGATGCGTAGGGGTTGGGATTGGAATAGAGTGACTTACATGAGGATCAGAGGAAATTATTTATACAGGGATATGGAAGACTGAGTCAGGATTGGGTTGAAGTGATTTGCACAGGGATCAGGGAAAGAATGAGGAAGAACCTCCTATTGAGTCCAGAGATTCAGAGAGGGTTTTCATCAGTCTTGAAGACATTTAACATCTTCCTGAATACTATGTGCATAATGCAGCAGTTAAAACTCTGTTCTTATACTTCTCTCTAAGCATTTTTTTGGCTATCATATTGGACAGGATGCCTAGTTAGATAGTACTTCCCCATATTTATGATGTTATGCTTGGATATTTAGATTAATTTGTGTACAGAATTATTAGCATCAAATTCAATGAGCAATCAAGAAAAGCATAGGCACAATTCACTACAGTAGTTAGTAATGTAAAGAAGAAATACTGAAATTCATTTTTAAATAGCTAGTAGACATTTTGGCCATGCAATGCTGTCTGATTAGTGTTGCTTTGATCTTAAGTTCATAAGTCCTATGTCTCCAAACTAGGCACACTTACAGAATAATGCAACAGATTTCTGGTTTGCACCTTAGAACAGATCATAGAATCATAGAACAATTCAGGTTGGAAAAGACCTTTGGGATCACTGAGTTCAACCATCATCCATTTTCCTAAGTAGGAGGGTTGCTGTGGTGAGTCTCAAAGCCTGGTGTGTGGGCCCAGGTGGAGCCGCCACAGATGCAGATCTTGGTGGTAGTAGCAAATATTCAAACGAGAGCTTTGAAGGCCTTTTGATGGAGGATGGTGAAGTACAATGTGTACCTCAAGGTAATCTGAATCTGGGGGAGAATCCTGAATTTGACAGCTGGTAAAATATAGAGTCTATATATATGCTATGGAATAAGGGGCGAAATGTCCTGGTCTGAGCCACGATGAAGACACTTTTCCTTCTTCTTGATTTTTTTTTTTTTCCTTTAGTAAGCTTTCTTTTAACTAGTAGCAGAGTGTTCCAACTAGGAATGATAACAAACAGTGGGTGGGTGGAGCAGAGAAGGTGTGTGTCTTAATTTTTCACATACAAGAATATCCTGAATCGAACCACGTATCTGTCATGGCTATGACCTGCCTTTGACAGCATTTGAAGAGAAAGATAAAAGCTTCCACGTTCACAATACATCTACTAATGATTAAATATTTTTGGAACATAGCTTTTTGGAACATAACTTCAGTTTTGTATTTATGTTTTAAAGCATAAGTTCAGCAATGTAAAAGCAATCTTGTTACTGGTTATAAAGAATGTGCTTTTGCTATCATGTTAATTCATAGTCAAGCTTGCACAGAAGTCTGTCTTATCCAGACACTTACACTGCAATATTACCTTGAAAACAGGTTTATATTTTGGAGACCTTGGCCATTGGTAAAAAACTGTAAGAATCCAAACTCATGAAACTTACTAGGCAAACTCTGGTCAGCAACCTCCATCTTGACTGACAGAATAGTGGCTGTGTGATGTTGTTCCTATAGTGAGGGCAACATATTTCAGAGCTGAAAGTTCTAACATTATAGTTTTCCAATAGATGGGTCAGCATGGACAGTCACAAAGATCAGTCAGATAGTTAATACATCTGAACTGATCTGGGTTCTAATCGACAAGCGGCTGAATATAAGCCAGCAGTGTACCCAGGTGGCCAAGAAGTAAAATGCCATGTAGAGCGTTAGGAGATTCAACTGCTCTTACTAAACAATACCTTGTTTTGATCTTACTTCTTTCATACATGTTTAAGGATGTTGATTTTGTCAATAAGTGAATTATTTGCTCTTATGTCTTTGATGTTAACAACCATTTTTGTTTTGTTCTCCAAGTTATAATCACACAAACCCCCAGAGATAATGTTTCAACCTGTCATGTGCAATTGGGTGCATAATTCCCCCATGTCGTGGTTTGGGCCTAACATGACAGCAAAGAAACAGGCCTATGGCCGCTCACTCAACTACCCCACTCACACACTCTCTGGGGTGAGGACAAAGCTCCTGGGTTGAGATAAAGGACAAGGAGGGTTCTTCACCAGCACCACTCTGGCTCTCCAGCACACCTTTTCTTCTTTTTCTCCACCTGCTAAGTGCTTGCTCTGCTCAGGTTTTATTTCAATTCTTTCCTATGTTAATTGCAGAGGTGCATCTATTGTCCCTCTAATGGTTCCTTTGCTGGGTTTGGAGCAGGGGGAGCTTCTCAGCTTCTTACCGGAGCCACCCCTGGGGCCTTTCCTGCTACCAAAAATCCTGCCAAACCAAGCTAGCAGACTCCATTATTAGTCTTATTAGTATTCTTATCCTATTAGTTTCTTCACCTTGAACTAATATGACATTACAGTACTATGGGAAATCAATGGAGCAAAAATTTCTCATGCTACCAGAGTTACTGTTGATTTAGGTACAAAGGCTAAGTATCAGATAGTGTGGATAAAGAGATTAAAGGAAAGAAAACCTTTATTGAATATCTGCCAAGTTGTTAGTAAAAATGGGTGTGGTCTGTAGGGAAGCATTGCCTTCGGAAAGGCAAGGCGACCTGGTTCAGGAACGGCACGGTGACCGACCCCTGGTCGCTCGGTCCATATGCACACAGACACCAACGTGGTGGATGACAAAATGGCGTTTATTACCATGTGGCATGGCATTATATAGCTTGAGTGATGTCACATCCATCTGCTTACATCATGGGGGGCGGGGGGATGGAAGCCCTGTCTTTCCGTACAGCACGAGATCTTCCGGCCGCCAGATCCTGGCTACATTTCCCCCCTCCCTATGCATAATTAAATTGGCTAAATATAACAGTCCTAAAAAAAATACATGTATAGAAATCCTAAATATAAAACATCCTGTTCCTATCTTAAACTTTATAGCAATCTTAAAAAATTTAAATGTACAACGATTTAAAAATATATACTGTAAACTTGAATAGAAAAATATAAGGCATGCTGAACAAGAGGTAGTTTGGGGGTAACAGGGTATACACAAATACATTGTAGCCTCCTCCCACGGGGGCTATATCGCTGTTGTTTGGAGTCTGCCAGTGTGGAACTCTCGGGTGTAGACAGCATGCTTGTTGACTTGTCGTCCTCTCTTGTTGCCGGGGCATGCAGGTTATGAGGATGTCTGGTGATCTGGTTCTGTGGATAAAAACTCACAGTTTTCATTAGTTTCATTCTGGAGGTCAGGCTTAATAGACTTAAGCAGACACCACTTGACTTTCCCATCTTTTTTGACTGCAGCATACCCTCGCCCTGTAAGGACTAGCCTCCACCCTTGTTCCCATTCCCCCAGCTCATTTCTAATTATAACCAACGGGCCTTCTTCTAGTGCTTGAGCGGCCCAATGTTTTTGTGTAGGGCTATTCATCTCTTCCCCCCTAGGAAACTGATTCAGTGCTAAAAGAGCGGTCGCTAGCAGGCGTGTTTGGTCTCCTGAGGGGATGGCATTGACAAAACCCTCTGTCTTTGCCAGCACCTCTAATTTAGTTTTCAGGGTTTGATTTGCTCTTTCGACTATGGCTTGTCCTGTGCTATTGTACGGAATGCCATGTATTAGGGTGATACCCCATTTCAGAGCAAATGCCTGGACTGATTTAGAAACAAAATTTGGGCCATTGTCTGTTTTGATCTGACTAGGGATACCAAGCCATGCCATGACCGTTAGCCAATGCTGGATGGTCGCTTTGGAGTCGGTTTTGAGGTGTTGTGTGTCTACGATCACTCCGCTATAGGTGTCCACAGTTACTGCTAGCCACGCTCGAGGTTTCAGCAACTGGCAGAGTGTAAAGTCTGTCTGCCACACTTCAGAGGCCTTAAGACCTCTGGGGTTGACTCCACTGGACCACAGTGGTGCTTTCTGACAGTGAGGACATGTGGCAACTATGTGTTTCGCATCGGTGACAGAAATCGCACATTTCTTCGCTAGCGCTTTGGCCCCGATGTGAAGAGACTCATGTAACTGCCGGGCATCCCTTAGTGTCCACAGTCCTTTTGCAGCAGCATCTGCTTTGTCGTTGCCGGTTTGGAAAAATCCTTTGACTGGGTTGTGGCTGTTGACATGGATGACTGATATGGTGCCCTCTCGAGAGGAGAGTGCTTCTTCCAGCATTAGGGCTACTGCTGATGTTGACA